CTGTACACTCTGCCGCATCTAATTCTTGACTGACTGAAATTGTGGGGGAGGACCGAGAATAACATTTGTAACTCTCCGAGGGCTGAGTACATTCAGATTTGTGAGCTCTAAGCCAACATGATGCAAAAATAGTCCAGGATGTGACTTAACTTTTCAAGTGAAAAGCAAAAGGCCAGGGATCGGCTGTAGCCGGGTGCAGCAGCAGCTAGGCAGCTCCAGCCCCAGCCCCAGCTATCTACTGCTGTATCAGGTTGACCCGGCACAGTGTGATAACGTCTCAGTGCCCCCAGTGCAAGCTGCCCATATCTTATCGCTCTCTGAAATGATCATTCTCTTTCACTGTAACTGTATCCAGTTTCTCCCCCCCCCCCCCCCCCCCCCCCCCAAAGTCTAGCTTTTAAACCCAAACCACTTCCGACGCAGCAGTGAAGTGTGCAGGCCTGTAGTTGTGGTACAGCGAGTTACAGGGATGGAGATTGCCCTGCCTCTCTCCTTGCTTGGTTTGGAGTCCTGTGGACTTTGTGACATAATTTCCTTTGAGTGTTTTTTTATTTTATTTTTTCTTAATCCATCTTTATGAGATGTCTTGCAAGGAGGGAATCAAAGGCAGAGCAGAAGTTTGCTAGAAGTGGTGTTTCTGCACTGCGCAGAAAAAAAAATACCCAGCAAACAACAAATCAAGCAGTGTCTTCAAGTTTCCAGTGGGGGTAGGGAATGGAGTGTCCCCAGTTGCTGCTCTCAATTGTTAATTCATAAAGAATCACAGTCCTGAAAAATGTTCTCAGCAGCTTGTCCCCCGTTAAAGCATAAATGTCAGTGACTGCCTATGGAGGCGTTAAGGCTCAACACCCTATTTCAGCGCGAGCTCTGGCATCTCCCTGCCCCTCATCCCGTGGTTTTCGGTGTAAACTCGAGTGTCCCCGAAGACTGCGGGGTGTCGGGGAGAGCGGGGTGCCCAGGACCACGGGGGCACACACGTTTGTCACCTCGCTGCCCGCCCCGGCACCCGCCTCGGCCGGGGCAGAGCAGCACATTTGGGGAGAATCCTGGCAGGGATTTTTAGACCCCCGCTTCCAGCAGCTTCGACATAACCCGGGCCGGGGAGGAGGTGTCGGCAAAACGGTGGAACCCCCGCTCTCCCCGCGCCGAGCTCGCTCTCCATCAGCACCCGCCGGTGCTCGGCGGGCAGCCCGGGCAGCCTCCGCGGCCGCTCCGCGGGGCCGGGGGCGGCGGGGAGGGTCGCGCCGGGGGGGGGGGGGGGGCCGGGCCCGGCGAAGGGCTGCGCCGCGAACCGCCCCGGCCCGGCCGCCACCACGGCGGGCCCAGGCCTGCGCCGGGCCCCCGGGCCCGGGCACGCACGTCCCCGGGCCGGGGGAGATGGAGGTGCGCACCCACAGACGGGCTGAGGGCTGCCCCCGGGCCCGGGCACGCACGTCCCCGGGCCGGGGGAGATGGAGGTGCGCACCCACAGACGGGCTGAGGGCTGCCCCCGGGCCCGGGCACGCACGTCCCCGGGCCGGGGGAGATGGAGGTGCGCACCCACAGACGGGCTGAGGGCTGCCCCCGGGCCCGGGCACGCACGTCCCCGGGCCGGGGGAGATGGAGGTGCGCACCCACAGACGGGCTGAGGGCTGCCCCCGGGCCCGGGCACGCACGTCCCCGGGCCGGGGGAGATGGAGGTGCGCACCCACAGACGGGCTGAGGGCTGCCCCCGGCCCCGGGCTCCCGGCACGGCCAGGCGAGGGGGGGGACAGGGCCCCGGGCGGGGACCGGGAGGGACGGGGAAGGGTGAGGGCAGCACCCTGTGTTTGTTTGTCTGTTTGCTTGTTTGTTTGTTTCTAAATACAATTCCTGGAACAAAAGGGGAGTCTGTGCGTAACTAAAGGATCCGTCCGTGCATCCCGAGCTTAGCTCCGGTGTGTCACCCAGGCGGCTTCAGCTGGCTGACCGTCCCCTAGGTATGTTCTCAGAGCACTTCCCCTGGTATTTTGTGCACAGTCTTGCTCTTTTCTTTTTCTCTTTTTCTTTTTCTTTGCTCATTTTTTTCTTTTCCTTGTCCTTTTCTTTTATCTTCTTTTTTTTTTTTCTCCTTTTTTTCTTTTCTCCTTTTCTTTTCTTTTCTTTTCTTTTCTTTTCTTTTCTTTTCTTTTCTTTTCTTTTCTTTTCTTTTCTTTTCTTTTCTTTTCTTTTCTTTTCTTTTCTTTTCTTTTCTTTTCTTTTCTTTTCTTTTCTTTTCTTTTCTTTTCTTTTCTTTTCTTTTTTTTCTTTTCTTTTCTTTTCTTTCTTCTTTTCTTTTTTTTTCTTTTTTCTTTTTCTCTTCTCTCTCTTCTCTTCTCTTCTCTTCTCTTCTCTTCTCTTCTCTTCTCTTCTCTTCTCTTCTCTTCTCTTCTCTTCTCTTCTCTTCTCTTCTCTTCTCTTCTCTTCTCTTCTCTTCTCTTCTCTTCTCTTCTCTTCTCTTCTCTTCTCTTCTCTTCTCTTCTCTTTCTCTTTTCTCTTCTCTTCTTCTCTTTTTTTTTTTTTTTTTGTTTTCTTCTATCTCTTGTTTTCTTCCTTTCTTCTCTTTTGTTTTATTGGTTTTATTTTTTCCCTTTTTCTTTATTTTCCTTTTCCTTTTTGTTTTCTTTTTCTTTTTTCTTGATTTCACCTGTGCTCACACAGAAACTAATCTAAACCCCACTGTAATCAAAGGGATCTTTTGAAATGACATTTTGGATCAGACCCTGGGATTTCTGCAGGGAACAAGATGCGGGGGGGGAGGTTTTACATTTCATGGCTTTTAAAGAATATAAAGTGTGTAGAACAGTGCTTTTCGAGGCTGAGTTTCCCAAGTCTATGTGGATGTATCTTGGAATGTGTATGCGATTAAGCTTAAAGCCCTTTTCTATAAGAATGCAGGCAGATTCACTTTTCTAGAGTCTGAAGCCCACTTCTCCAATTTTGAAACAAAAGTTCTTGCCAAAGCCCTGACAGTGGGCTATCACAATGCTAAAGGGGATGGGGAAAGAATCAGTTTTATTTGTTGGTATCAGCTTCTAAATATGTGCTGCTCTCCACTGCAAACAGCCCCTGCTTCCTCAAGCACTTGGAGCTGTTGCAGTGAAACATTTGTGACAGTGAAAATGAGCCTGAAAGTGAACCAAACAAGACCTAGTATTTTTTTTTCTCTCCTGTGTGCCCTCCCCTCCCCTAACTTTACTGCTTCCAAAATCCCTGATGAAGGCATTTTATTATGTAGGAAGAGCTGCTGGAGCCTGCAATGCGATTCAGTGTTTTGTGGTGTGGGATGAACAGATTTTCGTTTCCGTAGGGTTTCCTCCTGTAAAGTCATTGTAGAGGAGGGAATACTGTAAGATTAAATCTGGTTAAAATACTATATTCATGTCACACCAGATACGGTCTCCAGACTGTGCACAGTCTTTCAGCTTCCTTTATTGTGAAATCCTTTTAAAATAGCACAGTACAGAGTAGAAAACTTATTGAAGTATAACTCTCTTGCACCAACTCTGTCAGACAAAATGAAGGAAAGTGATCAGCCTCCTTAAATTAATAAATCTGCCTAGTGTCTCTGGCTGCCTTCACACTGTCTTACTTTCTTTGACTCTTTCCTTATTAATAAACTGATAGCTAAATAAAGCCGCTAAATGAATCAATGCGCCTTGCCGGTGAAGGCGGGTTGGTGCCATCCTGTTTCAGGTCTCCTGTGATGTGGTGAAGGGTTGTGGTTTTACAGCACGGATGGTCACAGCGAGGGCTGAGACTGCTAAAGCAGGCTGACCACATCTCTTTCTGGATGCTCTTCAGGTGTGAGGCTTGAGTACCCGTTCCTCTCGGCCCCATGCATTAATAACAGGATGGATTCACCGTTTGGCGTGAAAGCAGAGGTCATCTTGAGCAAAATGACACCAAAGGTCTACGGGAGTCATTTGCTTTAAGAGATCCTGGGCCGTGTGCCGAGTATTGCATTTAAGGAGGCACTGTCCCCTTTCTCAAAACAAAAACAAAAAATCCAAAAGAAAAGGAAAACAAACAAACAAAAAAGTAAATGTTGCTTTCAGGGGCATGCAGGGACCGTTTCCATGCAGCTGTCCCACCTATGGGTGGGATGTGGAGAGGGATCATTCAGCTGGCACCAAATGTGCAGCGGACTTTTGTTTTCAAAGCTGCAGAGCTGATCTGGAATCAAAATGCTGAAAAAGTGCTTATAGTTTGTCTTTTTTTTTTTTTTTTCACTCAAACCGATCAGACTTGTGGTTTATCCTTGCTCTGATTATGCTGTATGGTTACAATAAGTAGATGGAGCTGAAGCATTCCTGCAGGCAGTTTATAGAAAAATCAAAAAAAAATATATATATATAAGCCTGTGGATGCACATTCAGGGAAAGAAAGTTAACTATAAGGGACACAACAAAATATCCGTATTTAAGAAATGTGGATTGACTCACTGACTTATCTCACTTATTGCACAAAGATTCACTCTATGTTGATTTTTTTTTAAATTAGATTTTAAATATGTGTTGACAGGATGAATTTGTACAGTGTGAGTAACCGCAGGGAGAAATGACAGCTCTGCTTTTGTTATTAAACTACTGTCTGGAAAATAATGGAGTGTGTACAAAAATTGATTATTATTTTGCCAATTACATTAGTGCAGCTAATAACAATTGTTAAGAAATAAATACAGCAAGCTACACGCTTTCAGGTCTTAGACGCTGATATTCACTGGTGAGTCAAAAATATGTATTTTAAGGTAATTTGTCAGTAAGTCTCCTGTTATTAATATGAAGTAAAGACTAGATGTGTAAGCTAGAAATGTTTCACTTCAAACTGTTAACTTCTTCACTCACTCACAATTAATAAACAGTAAAAGTGACTTTCTAAATTTAATTTAGGATTTGAATATAAAAGGTCCTATTCTGTACCATAGTGGCACGACAGACATGTTTTACAATGTTAAAAATTCCTTTTAATAATGGTCTATTTTAATATATTTACTAAATTAGGTACCCGAGAGAATCATCTACAACGGTGATGTGAAAATTCCTGTTACCTGAGGTCAAAAAAAAAAAAAAGGTATGTTTTAATTTTCACTAGCAATTTGACATATTTCAGCAGGGGTGGTAATTTCACTGCTTTGTTTTCTGCTGCTAAGACAATGCTTTTTGGTCGAGCCCTGGGGAGCCGGTGACAGTCTGTGGTGCAGTTTCCTGGGCTTTCAGATGAAACTGACTTTCAGGTGCCTACATGAACCATTTGCAATGATGAGGCTTTGTACTTTGTCAGCCAGGCAGCTCTCCTGTGTCCCACAACTCATATATAATCCTTTGCAAATGTTTTATTTCTTTTTCTTCAAATGCTAGCATTCAGACATCAGCTACGGGGATTAAGGATGGGTCTTCTGAAGATCTCCCCCAGATCTTGATGAAAATCACGAGTCTGTGTTAGACAACTTCTGTACTTACAAATTACAATAGAGTTTAATTCACAGCACTGCGTTCCTCTGGAAATTCGTGTTCATTCAGTCTGTCAACATTGACTAAAATATACGCCGCTAATGAAAATGTGGGAATTAAACTTTCAGTCCCTTCCCCTGCTAGACTCAAACAGGCACTTTATTTTTTTCCATGGAATCTGATTTTTATTGACCTTGACTATAAAAAATACTAAGTGGCTTAAATGAACAGCAAGGTTGCAATGACAGATTCCTGTGTGAATTTTTAAATGAAACCTCCTATTTTAGTTAAGAACACAGGCTAGCATCCAGCCTACCACACTCTGACCAGCAGTTACATGCTATTAGAAAACAGTTGAATTTTATTAGCTCATGGCATTAAGCTTCTTTTATTCTTTAGTATTTATTGTTTGTTATTTTTTATTATTTAAAATATGAGGATCAGGAAGATGTAATTGGTGCTCTAGACTCTATGTTAAATAGCACCGAGAGGAGTTTTTCTTGGTGTAGAGGCTGCGGGAAATAGGTTTCTCAAGGAGTGCCAGAAAAGGTTCATTTTGAGCCTGGTGTTCCACTCACTTCCCCGAGGAACCCCGAATAGGGTTTTGCCTGCAATACATTTTTTTTTTTTCTGTGTTTCACCACTGTAAATGAGAGGGAAACCAAGCCACTTATTTTTTGGTGAGAGCTTAAAGTGCAATATGCTTTTTGCAAGAACGGAGCCAAGTTGTGATTCAACTGAAGTAAATACAGTAAATATGTCAAGTTCGTATTTTCATTGCAAAGGTGCAGCACATGTTCCATCACCTTGTTCCTAGTGTAATGGTTCTAATTTCTATAAACTCATAGGAGAACTTTTGTGGTTCCTGTAATTTATGTATGTGACTGTTAGATTTATATAAATAAGTCATATACATTCTTGTTACACATATAATAAAAAAGCAAAAGCTTTTTCCCTGATGGACACTTACTTAGCCTGCTGCTCTCTGGGACAATTCCTTGTGTCTTCCTTCTGATATTTTGTGGTTACACTTTCACATATTATAGCAAAAACAAAAAAAACAAACAAAACCCCCCCCCCAAAAAAAAAACCAAAAAAACCCCAAACAACCAACCAACCAAACAAAAAAACCAAAACAACAACAAAAAAACCCAAAACAAAACAAAAACAAAAGCAAAAACAAAAAAACAAACCAGCAGCAAAATCCGTTACTTTTAAGCAAATAACTCTCAGGTCTCAGAAGAGTTAACGAACTTTTATGGCAAGGTTCAGACAGTTCTGACCCCTATGGTAATATTTCATCTAAGGTTACTGTTGGGAGAGAAATCAAATTTCAGCTGTGAACATGATTGACAGGTGAAAGCAAGAGAGAGAAAGACATCTGGTCAGATGGGGAATTTGGGAAGGAGAAGGACAATTCAGGGAAGTGTCTCTGTGATATTAGGAATAATAAGCTTAGAAATGAAAACTCCAATCCTCCACGCTGTCTGGAGGTGCACTTACTTGATATTCATGGAGGTGGTTTCGTTGGGAGAATTTAAGACTGTACATTTATAGTAGTGGACAGTAGTCTCCATGGTCTAACTTAGTAATTTGACTCCTTTGAAGGAATTATGTTATTTCTGGCATACTTTTAGCATTTCAAGGCAATTAATTTTATGAGTGTGACTGGAATATTTGGTGGTTGCTGGTTAAGAGGTTCTCACCGTAACGTCTCTCACGGGTCAGATGGCAGCAGGGTTTGTGGAGGCCAATCGGTGTCACTCCATGCCCTTGAGTCTGGGGTGATTGCTGGGAGTTTTCAGAGTAAGCAGTGCAGGATGAAATTTGTACTTATGATAAACGCTGTTATACCAATAACAAAATTAGTTTCTATCCCATAAAATACCACTAAGGGTGCATTGTGGTATTTTACAAGGTAACTATTATTTTCCAAGGGCTGTGTGTTGGCCTATACCATCTACTAGCAGCTCCAGTGAACGTCCCTCACAATATGTACATAACCCCAGGCATATTTTATTCAACTTCAGTGTATTTTGTTTGGTGCAGAAGACCTTTTCCATACTCTAACATCATGGAACCAACAAGAACAAAATGTCCCTCTAATTATTTCCTGATCAGTGTGATGATGTTGGAAGGCAGAATTTGGTTCTGACATAAAAAACTGTAGCCAGGCTTTCTCTTAGAAATGATGTGTGAGAAAAAGATCTGGTGGTTTTTATCACTGTGTGTGACACTTAATATTTCAGTTTTCAAAGAGGCTCTGAAGGACTTTTGTAGAGCTCCAAGGGCAGGATGTGGCAATGATGGACCCTGGGATCTAAACTGCATCCTACCTACATCTCAGGTGAGAGGAAAGGCCTCGGGTGGGCTCCTGGCCTCACTTCAGGCTTTGGCAAAATCCCCGTTGAATTCCTGGGGCCCACACTTCCACCGCAAAGGGAAAGTCTGTGGGGGAGGTCGTAAAAATAAAAAGCAAGATTTGAACTCACTGCGGTAGCTGTGCTGTGAATTCCCTGGATGGATTTTCTTATTCTCTTATTTGGGAGTAAGGGTGGATTTCATGCCCCTGGCTCTCCCCCCTGCAAGGTAGCTTAAGCTGCTTTCAAAATAATATAAATTAACCAGGAAAATCCACTCTTACTCTAGAGCAGGACTATCCACCCAGGGAATGGATAGCACTGCAGTATAGTTTACTACATAATTTCCCCATATGGATGAGCCCTAAAACTAAGGGGAGAACAAGGAGCAGTAAAGAACAGAAATGTATTTTCTGTCCTTTTCCAGTTTACCTCTAAGACTTTTCACATAGGGGAAATCATGGCACTTTTAAAGTATACATTTGCTTACTTTTCACTGCTATTCCTGCATTCACACGTGCATTTTTAAAAGACATTTGTGCTTTGCACAGGACATTTTGTGTCTTCATACTGTTCACGTGTATTTTTGATGTGCAATCAAGTCAGACTGTTGTTCATGACATCATTTTTCTTTTCATGGCAATGGCCTGTGATGTCAAACCACCCAACTTCACTGTAAACTAGACCTTATCACCTAAGTCTTATTCTCAGACCATAAATCTGACCAAATTGAAAATTAAATCTAGGAACTGTAAAAACAAACCAATTTCTTTGTGTATGAGTGAGTTATTTTTAACTTTCCGTTGTTGAATTAGCACTCCCTGTAAAATGTCTTTATTTTCCAAAGCTGATATCAAGATAACTTCCATAAAATGTTATTGGCAAGGTTCCCGCTGCAGTCAATGGGAACCTTGTATGTATTTTTCAAGCAGATGTGCTATATTAAATCTAAATTAGTATCTTTTATTTCAAATGGGATGCAATATGTTATTCTTGATAAAAAATTGTTAGTAACCTCTCTCCCTTCCTTTCCTCTCCCCAAACATACATTGTACAATTTACAGGACATTTTGCATAAGTAAAAAAAAATGGATTTAAGTATTTAAAAAAAGCATAACTCCGCTGTTTCTTGAACTCCTTTCTAGCTCATTCCTATGAGTATGAAGTATGAAAACATCTTGAGTCTTTATGAGCAAATAGAAAGTATATGCCATATGTGACAGCCTTTACTCCCCCCAAATTCCCAGCAAAGTCAATTTAATAGTTTTCCCTGTGTTTAGAATAAGTTCTAAAATATTTTCCAGTGATGTGGCTTTTGCTGTCGTTTAGTTCTAAAAGAAGATTTTAAGTTAAGTGCTAAAAAAAAAAAATTGAAATATTTTTAACATCTCTTCTGGGTTTTCTAATTTGTGCCACTTACCAAATGATTCACACTGTACCAAAATACAAGAGATTGATGAGACAGGAAAAGTACTGATTTAACATCCCACATATAAAATTACTTCTCAGGCTTCCACATATAGTCCCGATGTTTAGAGAGTGAAGAAACCGGGAGTTGGGAGTTACAGTCTGACTCACTTGTGAGACTTTGACCCAGTTATTTGATTCTAGATTCAGCAAAATACTGAAGCACTTTAAACTTGTTATCTTAGCTTTCTTCTAAAGGTCTGTTACTGTTGATCTCTTTATATCTCAGTTTACACAGTTATAAACCTAGATAATTAATTCTTACCTTCTAGGCTTTTGTGGGAGTTAAAAAATAGCTGCAATGTTCCTTGAAGCCTTTTAATGGAAGCTGGTGTATTGAAGTACCTGTCATTTACCTTATTTCATACCCTAGGATGAGAAATCATTGGTGTTGCCCAAGTCCCATGCACCATTTCTGCCAGGATGAGAATTTAGTCTCCCGAACACACCAGGCCACAAGTACAAAGATCGGGTGCTTTGGGACTTGGTAATTTTCTAAATTACATATAACTAAGCTTTACCCTGATTTTGAATGAGTCAAAATGTAATCAAAATCATGGCTCAGTTATGTGCCCCCTCTCTCTCTTAAAGACAATGTAGCCTTAATACCTGTATGTACACACACATATATGGAATAACTCTTGCGCACCTGCAAGACATGTAGAGGTCACACTGTCCTTGTAATTCCTCCCCTTCCTGCCATTACCTTTATTTCCCAAGGTTCAAGCCATTATCATTCAGCAGTTGTGCAGCTTTTCTTTTCTTCCATGCCTAAATTATTATTGTTTCCCTT